TAGAGAGGTAGTTGGAGGCTATGTCTAAGAAAGCAGGTACAAGTAGAAGTAAAAGTGAACATTAAGCTCAATTGGGAGGAGGAATGAAAAGGAAGTTTATTTGCAAGCAAGTTCTGAAGATGAGAAAGGGTTTAAGCTGCTTTCTACGTACAAACGTTCCTGCATTTTACCACAGCAAGTACAGACTAATGAACTGTGAACAGAGTGATGCCTGATTTGTTTTTCAGCAGCAGCTCTCTTTTTCTTTGTGCCTCCTCTGTGATAAGACGTTTGAGGCAATTAAAAAAAAAAAATTTATTATTTCTGGCATTCACTTTCCTGTCTCCTTACAGTGCCATCTGCAAGCATGACCAGGTTGATCCGTTCCAGGACCCAATCATCTTCAAGCGTCGGTTCAGGAGAAAGCACTCAAGCACGGTTTCAAGCCAACAACCTAAGGGAGGCGAACATGGGAATACCTGAAACTACTGAAATCCATGGCAATCCTCAGACTATGGAAGTATCCTGTTAAGCAAGCATGTGAATCCAGACCATTCCTTTTCTCTCTTTTCTGCACCCATCCAACAAGTGGCATTAACAGTTTTTCCCCTCTCATTATGCCTGCTTAACTTTTCACCTGTCTCTTTGATGTTTTATTTAGTTATATTTGTACAGAAACTTCAGCTGCCTACAGATATACCGAACAATAGCTGCTGGAGGTACAGGAGCTCTGATATATTTTTTGCAGGCTCAAGATCAAAACCTGGGTCTCTCCTTTGCCTTTCTCCCTTCCCCCCAAGGAAATTGCTCATTTTCTTTTAATTTCTTCCACCTCTCCATCACACCTTCATGTTTATCTGCTTGAAATACTTGGTGCTCTTTAAAAGATGTGGTGTGGTGATGGTGGTTTTGATTTCTTAAAAATGGCAGTTTGGTTCAGCCAATTAATTCTATGTGCAGAACCTTGCTCTGTAACATGCAAGGGAAAGAAATACTTTCATGGGTGATGCAAGGGCTTGCTAATTAATGCTGTATAAATCCAAATTTAGCTTGTTCTCAGTTAAATATGAAGAAATAATGTGTCTGTCATAAGTGTGGTAAATGCGCTTCCACAGTGGGCTTGCCCCTGACATTGTGTACATCTGTATGCATCCATTAACTACTAACTTTCATTGGTGCTAGGCAAGATGAAGATGTCTTCATTTCTCCTGGCCTGTGCTATCCGATCATCTGGGGAAAATGTGTCTCTCCAGTCTTCTGGAAATTCAGATGATAATTTTTGTGGGTTTTTTTTTTCCCACTTAGAATTGCTTTCTAGTATGCTTCTGCTGAAAGACTTTAAGGCTTTTGACTGTGATCCTAACAGTGTCTTTGGAGTTCTGATTAGAGAGGACATCTTTGATTCAGAACTCCAAGAGTGGATCTATTTCTGTTCCAACTCTTGAGATCATAACCTGATGTATGAGTTATAAGAGAGTTCTATCTTTCATAACTGAGCAGGAGAAAGGAAGCTCTTTCCTGTTGGTTTATTCAGAAGCATTTCTCACTAGGACCATTAGGTTATAAGAAGAATGAGGTATTTAGCCAGCTTAATTTCCAACAAAGAGGGCATATTATTCAACTGTGTGTAAAAGATTTGCACACTATAAAATAGGCAAAGTTACAATATACAAGATATAGAAATGGAACCAGATGATATTTAGTATAATTCCCAACACCCTATACAATAAGTTCCTAAAGCTGGAAAAAAAATTCTGAAGTTGAAAAAGGATACTAAGCCAAATATCTTAATTTTCACAAGTGATCAGTAACTTTGACAATAAATTATGCACCTTTAATTTTTAAAGGGAATTAAATGTACTAGTTCAGAGATATATTTATAGTTATTGAATTAAGATAAATTATATTGAATTGAAAAACTTAATTCTAAATTCTGGTTCTGAATAGTTGAGTGAGTAAGAAGACAATGCTATAAAGTAAATGTATGTGGGGACTGAAGACTAATCTTGAATGAATATATATAAAATGGAAAATTATTCATTCTGTATTTGAAAGACTAGCTCAACATGTATTAATTATAATAATTCTGTATCTGTGAAAGACCATTTGGTTCTTTAGGTAAATTTCCCTCCGCTATTTTCATTAAACAAATATTTTACTATGGACTATTACTGAAAATTTTTCTGTTAACTTACAAGGAAAATAATATGTATTTTCCTACAAACACACACACATATAAATATATATAATTTATATTCTGATGGAAATAGATTAAAATTAAATGCACTAAGAATCAGGCAGTTTTGGAAATAAAATCTGCTTCACTGGGATTTCAGAATATAATTCTAAAAAGACTATAGAATAGAATTAACTCAGGATTTCTGAACCCATAGCTAGTTTTGTAGCCTTTCTCTCAAGCAGATGCATTACTAAAAATACAAAAGGGAAATATCTAAACTGAAATATTTGTTGTTCTTGAGTTGCATAAAACTATTGTTTCATTTAAAATACTAGTTAAAGGAATGCTTTGATGTACTTTATATTGTAAAAGTGTGCTCTGCTTATGGCCTGTAAATTACATATGTATTTATATAGGGTATCTATCTCTTTGCCTGTGCGCACGCACCCATGCGCACATACACTCATTCCATGCAATGCTATTAAATTTAATTCTTTTTGCTTCTGGTAGATATGGGAAATTTTTACCATGAGAATTAGAAAGTTCCTAAATCATATTATTTTCTTGAATTCACAATAATTTTGTGTTTTCTGATTTTAGCTGGGAGAGAAAAAAATCTATGATCTGTTAGAGTTAGACAGTGAGATTGCTGCTATTGGGAAGAGAAATGTAGCTGCATTTTTCATGGAACTATGGCAGATTATTTACTTTTTACTGTTATGTATTGTTTATAAGGCCAAAATCTTCAGGAAATGTCAGATTCAATTCTGTTTCAGGTAGAAGGGGAGACTGGAAGATTTTGCTGGGGGGGTGGATTCAAACCAGTTAAATAAAATATAATCAATTTTAATTGTTAAGGTGTCTCTGTGTCCTTTCTTCCTCCCTTTTGACTTGTCTTTTAAAGAGCACACTAATATATAATTGAATAATATTGATATACAATCAGTTGAATTCCAAAATGATTAAATTAGTTTCCTGAGGTTAAAAATAGCACAAAAATTTAGCAGCTTCCCTCCTTTTTCTGATGAGCCAATTGCCAATCAAATAGAAATGTTGGATAGGAAGCAAAAAGAGGGAAAGCAAGAGGGCTGTCTGGGAGCTCAGCCACCACAGGTCTTATGAAAAAAGAGGCTGAATAGAGCCAAATCCTGGAAGTCAAATAAAGAAGCAAATCTTAAAAAATGTAATGAGGGAAGGCAAAAGGAAAGGAGGCAGCAAATTAAAAAACTGAGAGGACAGAGGCATTTATTCCTTCTCTTCAGAAAAATATGTTTCTCCCCTCAGATGGAACTCAGATTTAGAAGCTGAAAAGACTGAAGAAGGCTAGCCAAAAACAAACTAGAAATGTATATTTTTCTTTCCTCTTAAGAAATAAACATTCTTTAAAAAATAAAAAAAGAACAATAGCACATTTTAAATTAAAAAAACCAAATTTTAATAAAACTTTCAACAGAAATAATATATGCAATAACAGGATCTAAGAAATCAGAGACAATTTTCTGGTATCTTTTTTTACCATGTATGAATCAACTTCTAATTTTGTATTAATATCTAGTGTGCACATATTTTCCTGATTCCCCCCCAGCCTACTCTCGCATTACCTTTCATTGTGCAATATGCAAATTAAAATCCAAGATTGTTCCAAACATGACTTGTGAGTTCTCCTTTGCATTAATTCTAGCTATGATTAATTATGCTGTCAGACAGCTCCTTAGTGGAATTTTCGTTTAATGGGGTGGGGGGTGGGGGTTCTGGTGTTGGAGGTTTGAAGCACTCTAACTGTCCATGGTTCAAAGTGCTTCATTTGGAATCCTGTATGCTTTAAAAAGTGTGTTTGTAGCCTGTGTGTTCAAAGAATTTGGTTTGGTATGATTTGGTTAAAATTATGAAGCCAAATTCTTTTTGGGAACAGCATTGCAGAGAAAACAACTTATCTGAAAAAATTGGGCAAGAGACTATTACTCTCACAAACTTAATTGGCTCCACCTTTCCTTCCAATCATTGTTGCTCTGGTTTGTCAGAAGCTTGGATGTGGTTAGTGTTTGTGCACACAGAAATGTACAGGGTTAGGGTTCAGCTAGAGGTAATGATAATTTAGGGTACTGAGACTGATAAGACTTCATAAGTGACCAGCAAGGACTAAATAACACCAAAGCCTCTAATGGCATATTAACATTACTCTGCCAGTTTTAAGCTGGCATGATGGTGACAGATATTTAAACTTGAGTATGCTTCATTTGCAGTAAGTTCAAGTCCACTTTAAGAATAAATTAAGTGTGAATTGCCTTCAAGGGAACTTCCATTTTTCTCCTGTGTAAGAATTTGTTATTCACTAACATGCACTAATCCCCACACTTTGGAATCTGAAGACACTTTTGAAATTATTGTGAGTAAACAGTGAATTTGCCAAATAGTTGCCATTGGAGAAGAGCTACAAACCATCCATTTACCACAGATTTTACCCCTGTAAAACTGATTATCCCTTCCACCTTTTATGTTCTGAGGGGAAGATTTGCAAAACAGCACCGACCAAGAAGTTGTTTTCATAGGTGGGTGGCTATGTAATCCTAACAGCCTTCTTAGAAATAGATTGTTTTGGAGATTTACTTTGCAATGCTCACGTTATCATTTTAATTCCTTAAAATAATTTTAAAACAATCTGACTGTAGCATAGAGTGCACTTTCTACCATTGTGCACTGTTTTGAGAATGCTGCACACTAATAGCAATGTCTTAGGGATATAATTTATCACACAGTGGTTTTCTGTGGAGAAAAATGAAACAGCCATCAACCACTTTCCATTACGTCAAAGGAAATTAAACTGTTTGGAGTTCTTAGAATTTAACACTTCTTAATAACATGCACTCAAAGCTATAAAAAGCTATACTAATGTGCCGTGTATCATGCTTGGGTTTACTTGGCATGAAGAAGGATCAAGATAACAATTGTTGTGATATTAATTTGGCCCTGTATACTGCATGACAACGGTTGCCTGAAAGACTGCAGCAAAAGATCCAAACCAATAGAAAAATAGCTTGCAGGCAACTCAATGACATTTGTATTCTGAGAGATTTCCACTGAAGAAAAAGGCTGGGGTTTCTCTGGAGCACCATATGAATTGTGTTCTGGTTAGAACTGGTGGTTGTCATCGATTTCCAGAGCTGCTACATTGAAAGAATTCCCTGCATCACCTATTGGAAGACCTGGCTATGGTATAATGACAGGTGAGTACAACCATTTTGAGTTAAACAAAAATATGAGATATTGTACTCTAACTACAATACTTTTTAAATGGAGAAAGTTAAAAACAACTGCATTATCATACAAAAACTCACGGACTGGTATAGCTTTTTATTGTGTAGTAAAATGTAAAGATGATTGCTAGGAGTAGTGCAATGGAAGCCAGAGAAGTAGGATGAAGAAGAAGAGCATAAAACCTCATGCTTTTGTTCCACTGTGTGATAAATTTGTTCCGGAAAGAGCCATCAACTTTTAACAAACTCCAATAGAAAAAGATGCTTTCAGCACTGGAGATGTTTCTGAACTTATTCATAGGATTATGCTAGTAGCAGATAAATGAAAAAAATTTTTTTACTACCATAACATGAACATTTCAGTATCAGTTATTAAATTCATGCCTTCCACGTTACAGGGCAAGAAGCTTTTTTAAAAAGGCAAATTCTTAGGGAAAAAAGCCTTTGAGATGGAAGCCATCTTAATTATGCCCTAAATTCAGGACAACTTTTTAATTACATTACTGATGTAAGACAGATAACTGTATTCCTGAACAATATTCATCCATCCATGCTGGAGAATTAAATCTTACCATCTTACTCTCTCTCCCGCTGCTGTCAGAGGTTATTGTTTCTTGTTTGCGGTATGATTTAATACTGTCAACTCTAATAAAACATCTACCTTAGAAGAAACTAGAAAATGGCAGCTGATTAATTGTAGTGGCATTTGGTTTCTCCTGCATTTTCCTAACAGTTTTCAAGAACAATAATGTGAATTTTTTTTGTTTCTTTTCTGCCTTTTGTTGATAGGCATCTCTGAGTGGTATTCTGGAAGATTGCTGTTAGCAACGAATTGTGATGGGAAGCTTGCCCAGTAAGAGGAAACAGATTGCTAACCAGACAAGCCCACAACTGAACACAAGGCACAGCCAGAGCTATAGCGTAAACCTGCCAGGTAGGGATCATGCTGTGCTACCATCTGAGTCTTAAAACAACAATCCATACAAATACCCACAGATTTTGTGCCTATACCAGACTACATTCATAGTCTCCCAGTTTCTAGTCTACTGACTTAAGCAGTACACCAGCATGGCTGTCTACAACAGCAAAGGAGAGATTTAATCTTTATCTCCTTAGTCAATGCTTCATCATATTGATTTTGCGGGACAGAGAAAAAAGAAAAGACCATGCAGAAAAATAGAGGGAAATATTTATAGGCTTCTGGACACCTAATTTTTATATGCAATGATTTATTTTCATATATAACAAGTCATGTGATTTATTATCAGAAAGATTACAGTCACATGATATGCATACAAATATACATACATATTGTTTGTGAAATTTTATGTCGTGTACTATGATCTGGTTCTGTGTGCACTTGGAAATGGAAGTCTTTAGCACTTCCATGGTAGTTATCTAGCAGCTTTTATTAATTTTGGTTGAGAAATTCTAAATCCTTGATTGAACATGAAACTCATTAACATAGCAACTATAACGATTTAGTCTGCCCCACAATGTGGCAGTGAGGAACAATGTGGAACAGATTATCCCACTACCAGATGGATTTGCAGTTGGCCAATTTGGATTCTTTGATGGGTCTATATGCACATGGAAGAAGGTATCTCAGGTTTCTGTCCTGACCTAAGGACTCTTCAACATCTTTATAAAAGAGGAAATATGAGGGATGTTCTTAAATTTGCAGATGACACAAAACTGTCGGGGGAGGAAATTGCTAACAATCCAGAAAACAAGTTCAAGAGTCAAATGGAGTACAACCAAATGTGAGAAATGGAAGATTGTACACTTACCTAGGAAAAAGAGACTGGTTTAGCAGGAAAAAAAATGGCAGTGGTAGTGACTTTTAAAAACAAAAGAGGCAGTTCTAGTATCATTGTTAGAGAATTAAATGATAAAATAAGTAGCAAAAATATTAATTACTGTAGTTATAGCCATTAGGATGAGTATTCATAATCAGTTGCGGTAAAATAGATGCAAAAAACAGGTGACTAGTTTTAAAAGATTTTAACTAACAGGTAAGCAGCTGAAAATGAAAAGTTGAAGTAGACAAGATGAAGTGAAGACAAGGGAATTCCATCCGTAGCGCCTGACTATAGAGAGTGCTGTCTGGCATTCTCACTTGAGGGCTTCAGCCTGGGGGGGCGGGCACTAAGGGAAATATCTTAATCCGAGTATGTTTGTATCAAATCCTGGATTCGAATTATGTAGTGCTATAATGAAATGTTCTGTGTTGACCACAAATGAACGGGAAACAATTTGGTGTTGTAATAAAATGGTTCAATTTTGTTGGGAACGATCTTCTATCAACATCAGTTTCTACATTCTAGTCTAGAGGAAGCTGTGAGATAATCTTAAAATGAGACATTATAGTATGTCAAGCATTTTGCAAGAATATTTCAAATATTGAGAGATTAAAATCACAGATTAATCTGGTTGGTGTTTATTTTTTCTTTTAATCTGCAGTTGCCAATTTCCCCATGATTGTTGCAGTCAGTGATTTTCCTTCTAGAGACACAGAACCAGTACTAAGGATGGGGGAACAGCTGAGTTTGCTATCTGAGTGAGTATTAACAGACAAGGGACAAAACACCTGAGGTATGCATCAAGCAGAGCAGTTAATATTATGGTAGTCATCAAGAGGGATATATCCTGGAGAGATTAGGGAGATCCCCACTGTGGGGAAATCCAATTTTGAAAACATCCATGGTCAAACCTTAGTTTTTCATATCTACTTAGTATTAGCTGTCCAAATTAGTTTATTAGTTGCTGGTTCTCCATTTTTCCTCTTTACATGTTACAATATTGCATTTATGTTTAATGTTACTGTTATTTAAAATTTAAAATAGCATACACAAAATATGTAAATTAATAAAAAAATAAACTAGTAGTACTTATGGAGCTGCTGGCCTAAATTATTTGAGGTCTCCTCTGAGTAGTTAGAAGGGCTAATTCAGCCTTTCTCAACTTGATCTTCATTTTCATTAATATAATTCCCAAAATTTCCAGTTGCCATGTAGCTGGTCAGCCTGGGGATTGTAAACCTAACACACCTAGAAGGTTAAATTACCCTCCCTCCTTCATGCTTAGTCTAGATTCTTTGGGTGCCAATCTAGTCTCAAGAAAGGGATAATTGTGGAACATTTTTCTGTTGGCAAAGCTTGCTCCTTGACCAGAATTTTAGAAGGAAAAAAATGGAACTTTTTCAAGAAGTACAGCAGAGTTTTCCTTGAGATCATGGCTTTAAGTTACATTTCTTCTCCCACAGAGACAGTGAATGGTGTCAAGTCAAGTCAGTAGCAACTGGCAAAGAATGCTGTGTACCCAGCAACAACATAGCTAAAATTTCACATAGGTAAGCATTGTGGTTTTTCTCTATCTGAAGTAACATCACAGAATATTGAGGGGGGGTGTTTCTGTGTTCCAAGAGATCCTCAACCCTCAAGGAAAGTAATTTCCCCCTTAACTTACACGTATTTTACATAGGTAACTGACCCCTGCAGTATTTTTGACTTCAGGTGGCTCTATGATGGCATTGATCGAGCCAAAGCCGAGCAGTTGTTGCTGTTGCCTGCAAACCAGGAAGGTTCTTTCATCATAAGAAAGAGACAAGCGAAGAAAGGTATGGATTCTAGACAATGTCCCAAGGAATTTCCCAGTTCTATTCGTGTGAGGAAATATAAGGTACATCAAGTGTGTGAGCTTTGCATGGTCTACCATGGATTTGAATTTAATAGTTAAGGTTTCTTCTTCAACTAAGACAATGCAAGTTTTAAGGATACTGGCACAACTCTAAACATCAGAGAAAAAATCTCATTGCTTTCAAGAGTATTTAATGAAACATATACATTTAATTAATCTCTGTTAGCAGTAGGATTGGGTGGACTTGTTTTCTGTCTAAATGTTACAGATTGTTTTATTCTGATAAAACAGGTTGCTACTCTTTATCAATCAGATGTACAAATCATGAATCCTGGAATTGTATAAAACACTACCGCATTAACTGTTTGGAAAACAGCTGGCTTTATATCTCCCCCAGCCTCACCTTCCCAAGCTTGCATGAACTGGTGGACTATTATTCTGGTAATTATTTTTTAATTAATTATAAAGAAAATTATATATTCTTTTCAGTTTCTGGTTTTGGCACTCTCTCTCTGTATATGTGCATGTTAGAAAAAAAGAGACAGAATTGCTTTAGAGCATGTTAGGCCACTAGGCAAATTTTTAAAAAACTTTTGGAGGTAAGGTGGAAATGGCCAAAGATCTGTGTTACAAAGATTCCACATTCCTGGCTTTTTCTCAGTGAAAAATAACTTTTGTACACCATACTCTTGATTCTGAGTACAATTTTCTAGAATTCTAATTGCCGTTTATTTTATTATAATTTAAAATATGGAGTCTGGATAAAAAATAGTGACCATTTGGGAAAATCGGTATATTTATACCAACTTTTTAGAAACCTGTCAAAGGAGGGAATTTGGAAGTTCACGGTTATTTTTCAGCTCTTCATCTGATCTCTTTAATGATTTGACCTTTGCGTAGTGGATTATTCAGTTCTACCATTTGTTATTTGTGTCCAGCCTGAGGCTCAGAATTATGGGCCATTTCTTGGCTATATTGTTAGTTGGTTAACTTTATTGGCTGTTGTATGTATTTCTTTTTGGAATGTTTTTGATTGTTTTATGGTTTTAGAATTTTAAGCCACCCAGTCATTTGGCTGAGATAGCTATAGAAATTTAATAAACAAGGTTTTGTAAGAATGTGGTGAAAAGTCTAGGTCTGTTATGTGATCATGCTGTAACAATTATTTTTAAAGTTGGATATTTTCACCAAGAAAATAAAATGCATTTTTACCAAAAAGCTGAAAAAGCAACATGACTCTTGCAGCTGATTTTTTTTTACTGAAATACAGTAGGTTGAGAAAACCCTATATATGAAAATCTATGTTTATTCTCTTTAATAGAAAGTAGTGATGGCTTATGTTGCTGTTTGAAGACACCATGTTTCATCCAAGGAGCTAGTTCCAGCTTGTTTCATAATCTTCCCAAACCTGTGGAAGTAAAAAAATCTCTCAATTGGCAACAGATTAAGAGGTTATTTTATATTTTATATTCAACCTATACTCGACCTTTATGAAGAACTCAATATGGCTGGCTGGACTGTTCAAATTTTGGTAACAAATTTATGTTTTGCAAAATCATGTTTGCACAATTTAGTCTCCCCAGCCCATGGAAGAAAACGTATCTTAAGTTTTATTAAAAACTGACAGGTGTTACATAGGCAAATAATCTGAAACTCAAAATTGCTAGTTCTGGACTAGTTAGTGTCCAATGGTCTTCAAGTGTGCATTGCAATAATCCAGACAAGTACCAAGACATGAGTACAGGCAGCCCTTGGGAAATGAGATCATTTATCAAAGTTAAGACCATTCAGTGGCAGTGCCACTAATTATTCACCCTTATGACAGACCATGGGAATACTGTGGTGGCCCCCTTCCTGCCCCCAGCAGGACCTGGAGTGCTCAGGACTGCTTCCCATGCTTCCTGGAAGCAGCTGTCATTTTCAGATCCCAATTCCTTAATGACCTTGATTTACCTCAGCAGCTGCAAGGGCATCATTTTATGTTGTAGCACTCCTTCAGTTATTCCCAGGACTTGTGGAACTGGCAAATTGAGAAACTATGATTGACTCAATCTCTCAAGGAGTTTCTGCAGCTGAAGGTGACTTTGAGGTCTCCTGAGTTCCAATTCAACCATTTAACCAGTACTCTACACCAGGGCTCCCCAACCCACCCCGGTCTGTAGATCAGCACTGGTCTGCAGCATGTCAGCAACCGGTCTGCGCAAACAAGTGAAACCCCATCCGCAGGATGCAGGCAGCACATGAAACGATGCCCCCTCCGGTCCATGGAAAACCTCTCTCAGCAGAACCGGTCCCTGGTGCCCAAAAAGGTTGGGGGCCACCACTCTACACTGCTTCTATTATCATTTTAAAAACAATCCATGAGACTAGTTGTTTCTTTGAAACTCCAGAATCCTTAGCTGTAACAAACATAAACCACTGCAGCAAGGAAGTATTGCATTTGTTGCTACAAGGAAAAAAATCCATGCCATTAGCAAAAGCAAACTTTCCGGTGTACTGAAGCCAAATATGCTGATAGTTGTTATAGCCTGCATTACTAGAAACAAAACAAAATAAAATAAAATAAAAAAACCAAAGTCATTTTTTTAACAAGCTGCTCAGAAATGTTTTCTTCTGTCTAGCTCGGACTTGTTGTCAGAAGAACGGCTAACCGAAGACTCACCCATCAGTCTTGGCATGCGCGAAGCAGTTACTACTTACCTGTTTATGACCGATGACCTGTCATTACAGGGCACACCAAACAGAAAAGGAAGGCAAACCAAAGATACATAAAGCAAATATTGGAAGTATTTCTGGAATATCAAGCTTGAACACAAGATCTGTTGAATTTGTGGTATTTTTATCAAGTTGATTCAAAGTGGTTATCCATAAATCAGTGTTATCATAGTTATACTTTTCATCTTTTTCTGTGTGTGTGTGTGTGTAAGTTTATTTATGTATTTTCCCTACATGTATTTTGCACTTGGTCATTCATAATTGATTAGTAATGGAAAAACTGAAGTATTCACAATAAACCAAATAATTGTTTCACCAGGCTGTAATGGAGCATTGGAACATTCGTGTCAACAGTTCAAGAAACAAAGGAAAGCAAGGAAAGAGGTTTTCTCTGGTCTGAGAGGAAGAATGATAGGAATGGAGCCACCAAAAGTAGAATGGAAATGCAAGTGGTTCTATATATAGTATCCACAAATGGCATATAAAAGGCACACAAAAACCTATGGCAGCTTCTGGCCGTACTCATAAGCTGCATGGTTTGCTTAATAAAGCCATAATACATTGGTTTCATGTTAAAATTAAACAAAGCACACAAGTTCACCACCTTGAATTATTTGTAAAAATAATAAAGGAGGAATACAAATAAAAAATAAAAAATAAATTATAGTGGAGTCATTGAGATGTCTGAGCTTGGTTGTTTGCTTGCAAATGTTTCATAATCTGATTAGCATTGACCTTAGTTGGGTAATGAAATGTTTACAAGCAAGCAACCAAGTTCAGAGAGCACCAAGAAATCCGTATTTCAATCTTGAGTTACATATATTCTCTTATATTGTAACTACATTATAGCCTGAACAATCAGGAAACCAGTCCAAGACCCACAAAAATAGAGTACCGTATTTGCCGGCGTATAAGACGACTGGGCGTATAAGACGACCCCCCAACATTTCCACTCAAAATATAGAGTTTGTTATATACTCGCCGTATAAGACTACCCCCTCTTCCACACACCTTCCACTTTTGCACTTTTTTTTTTTTTGACGCACTTTTCTGCTTTGGACAATTTTGAAATGAGCTAATCCAATTTTGAACCAAGAATATGCAAATAGCTATGGAGTTTAGAAATGAGTTTTAAAAATATTTTTCATTGCTTACCATTAAGCGTAAAATATGTTGTAAATAAAATGAGAACACAGGAAACGTTCTCTTCTCAATACAGCTGATCTCTTTCTCTCTCTCTCTCTCTCTCTCTCTCTCACACACACACACACCAAAAACCCGGACACTGAAAAGGCTGCCAAGGAACAGTATATTCAATGCCTTCTCTTTAATCAAGAAACAAGGAATTCCTTAGAATCTTTTTTTTTCCCCAAGTGGCCCTCTTTAAAAAAAAAAATGGAGGTAACACTTTCATTCAAAAAGTCTTCCAGTATCTGGAGTCGCTCAGACATATTGAAGTGAGGCAGGAGAGTAAGTGAAATTTGAAATGATCCAGCTACCGTTTTCTTCCCCTCCCGCCCGAAGGCCATTATCTCCACATCAAAACGAACGAGGGGAGGCAAAGAAGCCAAACACGCTAAAAAGGATTTCTTTATTTTCCTACACAAGGTCACACCTACTTTTCCGCATTCAAAGGACAACCTCTCCTCACCACCACCACACACACACACACACCCCAATACCCGCAAACAATGTTCTGGGCATTAATCACCATTGCTACATTAACCTGGTAAATTTATACCCTGCCTCCCCCAGTGTTGCTTTGACGGTAGGATTTCACACAGCGGGGCGCTCGCTCGCTCTCTTCTCCGCTCTCCCACCGTTCGCACATGTTGGAAGCACCGTAAAACCTGATAACCCACCCGGGGGCTCCCCCATCCTTAACCTACAGCCGCCCGCATGCAAAACCTGCGTGCAAAAAGAAAAAAAGAAAAAGAAAAGTACGCCGCACGTGAGGATCTTCGAATCCTCTCCTCCCCACACCGCTAAGGAAGGAAGAGGGGGAAAGGTTGCGCAGCGCGTGGCGAGTGACACCCACCACACACACACACACACACACACCGCTCCCCCCCCCCCACCCCCCCTCCCGGCTGCAACTCAAGCTCGAAGTGGGAGTCGGAGTCCTCCCGGCGTATAAGACGACCCCCCCACTTGGAGGCATGTTTTTCAGGGCAAAAAAGTCGTCTTATACGCCGGCAAATACGGTAGTTACTTTTAGCATTGAACTTGTTTGGCTCTGTTTCATACAAAGCAGACTTCGGGAATATGGAAGCGCCGATCTCTCAGATGTTGTTAAATGATAATTCAGTGTCCCTAAGCACTGGCTATGCTAATTAGAATTTCTACCAGTTACAATATGTAACAAGTCGAAAGTTACATATGTTTAAGCCATGCTCTATAGTTTTAGGATTATCTTCGGTGTTAAAGGGATATAGTTGGAAGTTATTCAAGCCTTAACAAAAAGCTCTTTCTTGTTTACAGATGAACGATAGAGAAGTATTTTTTTTTTCAGCGATATTTTGTTATCTAGAAAACTCCCCATAATGTTATTGTGAGACAACTGGATGTCTTTTAACAATCACAAACTTTATTCCAATTTATTACAGCAAAATAATTTTATCTGCTGTACAGCTGCTATACTAATAATCTATAAGAGCCAAATAATTGGAGACAAATAATTCCCTGAAATTAGTCTTGGCATAAAGTCTCTGTCAGACTGCAAAAAAAGTAGACTTTTTGAATGAGATAAGATGGTCAGAAAAATGTTACTTCTATGACAAACACTAGATAACTGAAACCTACATAATTCTGCAGCATATAAACATTACGGATTTTTATTCATAATTACCAATTTGTACACTAAACAGGTCTTCAACACACAAATGTGCTTTAATTTAAACTTTGGTGGTGTCAAAAACAACTCCAATATCAAGGTAGGAAAAATCCAACATTCAGAACATCCAATGCAAAAATACCCTATTCTGTCCACCTCAAAGTAATTTCTTGTCCCAGATGTTATCTAACAAAAAGGAAGTAGTGATGGAAATATGATCTGCAGGCAAATGATATTCTTAAACATATAAAATAGTTACAATACACCAACATTTGAAAAGCTACTATATAACGTAGCTTCAATGTAAGCAGCATTTCTTCACTTTGATCTCACAAATAATGCTAGTAAGGAAACTAAAAATAAAAGTACAAAAAGGGGGTTCAAAAACATTGTTTAACATAATGTCCCATTGCCTTTGGGAACAGTACCTCATGCATAGACCTCGAGACTCTTTGTTATACACAAATATAAAATTAACTGATTCCCAAAACCACACTTTACAAGTATCTACAATGAAAACATTTATAATATTGAACAGGATTATGTTTCAAACTATAAACCGGAATGGCAATTATTAACAGTAGGGAAGAAAACAATTCCATGACCATCACTGGCCATGGCTAGACCGGAATCTGTAATACACCCTTCCTTGTGTAGATACTTTTATACCCTGCATTCAGGATATGTCATCAGTACATGGGAGGCACAGCATGGCCAGATTTAGAAATTCAAGAATGCACAGAAGCTCAACATAAATGGGTGTCCCAGTACCATGAGAATCATGCTACAATGTCATGATAAATATGGAAAATGATAATTTACTAGGAAAAGAAGTGCAACCAAATTGGGACCTTCTACTACATCTATTTAAAATAGTAGATTAGTTTCAGATCATATATGCAATCCTCTTGTAACAGTTTACTTATAAAATTAGACATTCATACTTGCTAGGCTTGAAAATAATATCTTCTATTGATTAAATACTGTAGTTATGCATAAACTATTAGGATAAAGTATGAGTCTTTCTGACACATTAAGTCACTTAAATAAACTAGGCAGAATGTTATCTACAGCCTTGGATCACTAATTATTTTTTGGCTCTTAAAACTTTTTTTCTCCAGTGGCACAATTTTGTCAGTGTATGTATGCAAAGAACATTAATGGTTATTTCAACTTGATACAAGGAATGAAAAAAATCCTTTGCCAACCTGCTCCTACATTTTGAAGACAAGAATAAATCCCTTTCCATAATGTTAAAAATGCCTAGCAAAGGCCAACTGAACAAAAGATAAGGGCAATCTCTTTTCTTTTATGAAGAGTAACCCTTGCCCCTAAACAATTCCCTGAAGTCAATTCTGCATCACATGCAACAAGCATGCTATTCCATTAAAATAGAGAGTGCTCATCATATGACAGGCTCCAGCCATCCAGCAGAAATTTTGTATCATGTTGAACAGCAAAGTGCTATTTGTTGTACTTTGCCCAAGTCTGTGAGAAGTTGTTTTATACAATGCTTCAGTTGAGGAAGTCTTGCTAATGGTTCTGGTGGCTCCAGCTCTCCAGTATAATCCAACCAACTCTCTAAAACTGTAAGAGAAGAGAAGGTATACAATAATCACAAAGGTCTAAGTTACTGATGGCTACATTTAAGTAGATTTGTATTAGCTATAAAGAGTTTCAGTAGGATAGTGTAATCTTTCCTTTAAAGGAATCAATTTTTTCAGATACTTTTAAATAAAATATATTAACTATCAAGCAATTTAAAATAGCACCCCAAATATAGACATAGAGTAGTGAATTGTTATAATGTGTGCCTAGATCAAAACTTTTGTTTGGAATGTTTTAATCTGAGCACAGAACAAATGAGGAGGGATTGGTCTATGCACAGTACTGGGATGGAAGAGGGAGCGGTGGCTGAGTGGAGGGTGTTGACAGAACAAGGAAAGTTCTGTCAACATAAATACACATATATAAAATATCCATTAAAAACTACTATAAAATCCAAGTCAGGTCACTGCCACATATCTTTGTGATGTATCTGAGACACTGTAGTGTTTTAAAATAGCAATCTTGAAATCAGGGAACTGATGCTGTCTGACTTAAGAATGAAGCTATTTGGGTGGCTTTGGGCCAATTACTTTATTTCAGACTTAGGAAAAGGCAAACCACATCTGAAAATATAAGCTTCAGTTACAGATAGTCTTCAATCACCACAATTGAACTCAAAATTTCTGTTGCTATATGAGGCAGTTGTTAATTTTGCCCCATTTTACAGCTTTTCATGCCAGTTAGGTGAATCAGTCCAATTGTTAAGTGAATCTGACTTCCCCACTGACTTTTCTAGTCAGAAGGTCGCAAAGGGTGATGATGGCATTATCCCAGGACCCTGCAACCATCATAAATATGAGTCAGTTGCCAAAGTCTGAATTTTGATCACATGACCATGGGGATGCTGCAACACTGGTACCTGTGAAAAATGGTCATGTCACTTTTTTCAGTGCTGTTGTAATTTTGAACAGTCACTAAGTGAAAGGTTGTAAGTTGAGAACTACCTGTAATGATTTCAGCAGTTCTGCAATCTGTGAATAGTTCCTATTAAACTTAAGGCTTACATTTTCTTTGAAGCACTACACATTTGATTTATATCATCATAATAAAGTAAACAGCTGTATTTCAGAGAAGTTTAGTTGCTATTAAACATAAGCAACTTTCTTTCTTCAGTACCTATCAACAATTTTACTGTATTTGGCCGCTCATAGGCAATTTGCCTTTTTTGCTGTTACCCCCACTTTATGGAACACCCCCCTCCCCCATACAGAGGCTGGCCTTATCTGTTTTAGTTTTCAGGCAGTCCTGTTTATCAGCAAGCCTC